CACTACCACCACTGAAGCCAATGACGCTGTCATGGCTGAAGACATTGTGCATCCTGAAGTCAATGCTGCCACTAAAGACAATGCACAGCCATCCATCTCGGATGTGGTTGTTCCTCCCCATGTGCCTCACACCATGGAACATGCTACGGTCTGATGGCCCATCTTGACACCATTTACTGCTCCTGGTACGCAATATGACTATCACGTGGAGCAAAGGCCTCAAACACAGAAGCCGAAGCCCAGGCTCCCAAGGCTTCCAAGTGTTGTGACCACCCATGGCTCCTTCAGTGTGCTAAGCTTCAGAGAGCACAACACCTTCTTCGAATCTGCAAAGAATCCATACAAGAAGCCTAAGATCTCCTCATATAGGTTCTAGAGCTATCAACAACACATGTACTATTCTTGCATATTATACAATCAAGACATGATTTTTCCTCACAAGCATCTTGACTGTGATGCCATTGTTGGGCTTCCATTCCTTGAAGAGGCTCTTGATTGCTTCAGAGAAGTTGGTCTGTTCCCTTTTGTCATTGACAAGGAGCATTGGAATGAAGAGCTTCTGTTGCAGTTCTAGGCTACTCTGCACATTAGAGGCTACAACAGGGATCCAAAGACTTGGGTCCTTGAGTGGATGACAGGTGACGTGCATCATGAAGCCAAAGCTCGGGACATCATTGAGCTAACCTCCTGCCCACTCCTGGTGATCTGTATGAGCCAGGTTGCCAGCCATATGAACGTGAACTACAGAGCATCTTTCAGAAGCCAGAGCTGAACATGAGTCAAATGCTTAGTATGATGAAGCCATTGCCCATTGATGCTAAATATCCCAAGGAGTTCTTTTTCAAAGACCTCGAGTACTTGCCCCACGCTATCTATCACATTTTGAGGCATACTCTGAGGCCTATCAAGGGGTATTCACCTGACGCCAAGCTTGAAGACACCATGAAGACTTTGGTCTTCTACATCATCAATGGCATCAGATTCAACACGCAAGATTTCTTCATTCGTTAGTTGGCCGCATCTGGAATTGATCTATTTAGCCTCAAGTTCTATGCTCCATGGGTCATGCGGCTCATTAAGCTTCACTCCTCCATCAACTATCAGGCTTCAGCACGTAACCATGTTGTGTTTTTGCCTGATGTTGATATGTCATATGAAGCCATCTACGCTAAGCCTACCAAGAAGCCACTCCATGAATACAATGTTGAGTTTCAAAACTTCACTCAGCCAATTGAAGGTATTCACGTGCCCAATGCTCCTGCTCCTGCTGGTCCCCTTGCTGGACAACTTTGACTGCTGCATCGTGCCAAACTAATGCAACAGCCAGCACGGTTGCTCAAAGGCCTTAGAAGCGTGCTCGTGTCCTGAATGACAGAGAGCTTCTTGTCTCACTTCACCAGAAGCAGGATAGGCATCATGACTGGCCGAAGCGCCAGATGCAAAGTCTGCTCATTGACGGTCAATCGCATTCGCAATCTGGCAACCAAAAATTCATTTGTTGCCATGAAGCATGTCGGCGGTCCTGGAAGAGCCTTACACTGCTCTGTTCTGAAGACGATCTCCAAGCAGATGGCCTTACTGAACGATTCAAATTTGACTCCAGGCCACCACAATCTACAAGTTGGCGTCCAACTCCATCACTTGAAGATTTAGACTATTCATCTTCGGCTCCCACTGTGGTTGCTCGGGTCATAGATGAAGAGGATGACGCCACTTCACCAGCGTTGGCTTCACTACATCACGATTCTGCACCAGGCCCCTCTACACCGCCCAACTCCAGCATCGACCCTACTGCACCAACATCTCCTCCGACTGGGAATGAGTAGATGCTCTATGTCGTCAAACCTTTTTGGTCCTTGCTGACAAAAGGGGGAGAAACATATGAGTTAATAATCTTCAAGCGGGTCCATATGGGTCGGGTGCTTGTTTTTGCCAAGTTCTTACAACTCTCGTTCTTGAAATTGTTGGTTTTTGAGTTGTAACATGTAAACTTGATGGTCATCTGCTACTTTTGTTGCTACCTTATGATGCGATGATAAATCCCGCATGAAGTCATTCTTCAGACGTCCATTTCTCATTATGCATATCATTATCTTCATTACGTTCATATATGCATGATGAATTGTCTTCATGGTTGAAGAAGATCTCCACAAAGCAAAAACTGCCATGTGCATTTGCATTCAAAGCCAAACTACTTGTATGCACATCTTCAGGGGGAGCCTCTTTTAACCTATGAAGACAATCCCTGTGTACTTAAACTTTCACATACTTTTATCTCCATTGAAAACTTCAACCAGCTTGTCATCAATCACCAAAAAGGGGGAGATTGTAAGTGCATCTAGTGCCACCCCTAGTTGGTTTTGGAGTATTGACGACAAACATGGTTGAGGGACTAATGTGTTTGTGAGAATTGCAGGATAATACAGGTAGTAGTCCCTCATTGATTTGGTTTATCTACCAGAGATGTCCCCTAAAAATGTATGAAGACAATGAAGACAATGGTGGTTCGTGAAGACATTCACGTTGAAGATAATGATGATGAAGATATTCACTTGAAGACTATGGAGTGTGAAGACATAGTTTCTTTCGTAGTTTCCGTTTCTTCTTTCTTGAGTCATAGGAACCACCGTAGTGTTAAGTGGGGTCCAACTGAACAAAGTAAGATGACTGAAGTGATGCTCAATAAAAATCCTATGTCTTTGAGCAAAGACAGTGAGAGCAAATCTTATCCAGAGTTGGATGAGTCAGCTTTGCTTGTAGCCCAAGCCAAGCTGCCACGTGTGTTTGAAATAAGACTGTTGGACACGTGTCGGTTCCATAGTGACCCAGCGTCATTTCGTACATATCAGGTCGGGTTGCCCCTAGCTATAAATAGCCCACCCCCTACACCATAAATTGGTGGCTGCTCGGAGTTAGTGCACGGCTTTTGTCGTTTGAGAGCAACCCACCTCCAAAGCCTTTGAGAGAGATCCTTGCAAGGACAAAGCCCAAAACACCCAGAGCCAAAGAGTGTTAGGCATCCCTGAAGTCTTTCTGTCAGCTTGACCTGAAGACTTGTTACACTTGAGGACTGTGCATCCTCCAGCCGGTTAGGCGTCACGTTCCGAGGATCCAAGAGTCATTGTGGATTGCCGATGAACGGAGTCTGTGAAGGTTTGAAAGTCTATCTTGAAGACTTACCAAAGTGATTGGGCGAGGACTGGGTGTCCTTAGCTCAAGGGGAATAAGGTGAAGACACAGTCTTCTGAGTTCAATCTCAGCCTCCCTAACCAGACATATAGTTGTCACAGCAACTGGAACTGGTCTACCAAATCCTTGTCTTCGCCAAGCTATTGGTTCTATCCGCTACCTTCCTTACCTTTCATTTTGCCTTCGTGAAGTCATTGCTTGCTTGCCTGATCTATTTGACTTCACTGTGTGAAGACTTCTAACTGTTTAACTTCATACCGTCTTCCATTCTGATCCTTTCTACCTAGCCGTTGTTAGTCTTCGTGCTTTCACTATATTGCTTGTTTGACTATTGCTTATCTAGTGTAGTTTATCTTCCGCTGCATATCATATAGATTCAGATTAATAGTTTCTCTTCAAAGACCTCGTGTTTTGAAGATTTTCATAAAAATTGCCTATCCACCCCCCTCTAGTCGATAACTAGCACTTCCATACCTACTATGCCATGCTGACGCACCAGCGCCGCTACCAGATCCAGCAGCATATCCGGGCGAGGGAAGCCGCGCGCGCCGCCCGCATCACTGCCAAGCTGTCTCCGGACTCGCCGGGGCCAGAGGAGGAGGAGCAGCCAGGGGAAGAGGAAGAGGAGGAGGAGATGGCTCCGATGGAGGTGGAGGAGGCAGAGGAGCCAGACCAGCAGGTGTCGGCATTCAACATGGAGCAGGCGGAGGCGGAGTTCGCCGTCGCCCAGTCCGACGAGATGGACGAGTCGCAGGCCATCCTGGAGGCCATCCAGGATGAGGCCTGTGTGGGGCCAACCAAGCGTTCCTCCGGCGGGAGCAGGCGGAGACCGACACGAAGATAGAGGCGAAGGAGGCCGGAGCGGAGCAGCCGGAGCTGTAGCTGCTGCCCATGCTGCCGGAGCCGGGCACGGAGATCGTGGTGATCTCTGACGAGGAGTAGCGATGATCGACGTAATACATAGGTTCTATTTCCTTTTCATGTCATTGTATGGATATAAGAATCGAGTATGAGATGTCCGGATACAACAAATAAAATTTGAGGTGTGCCCAGTCACTGCCCGCGGATGCGCCCGGACGCGTCCGCGAGCGTTTAAGGGACCGGATTTGCCATATGTGGCTGTAGATACTCTTACATTAGCGGCAATTGCAAGCACTTGCATGGCGCGTGGCGGTTCGCCGTGCAGCCCCTGCTAGTTTATGATAAAGGTGCAAAAGAAGTACTCACTTCTCTGAGTTCAATTCCTGGACCAACAAATAAATATTAGTATGCAATTTGTGTATAAAATTATAATGACAAATAAGCATATTGAAATTAAAAGCTAGTAATAACAATGAATTAGCATCTCAAAAACATAATAACAGAGTAATTGCTAGTCAAAGGTTGTCCTAGTGAAACCTAATGCATACAATATATTGTTGATGTACATGGGACATGATCAATTCTCGTCGTCGGTGTGTCAAAAGATGTTGGTGCGGATAAGGTCATTGTTGTAGTTTGTCGATCGCTGTCTTGATCGCTTTGGGATTTTTTTTCCTCGCTTAGGCATAGCTTTTGTCTTATATGACTTTGCTACTTGTCGGCGTGTTTATGTGTATATGTGTTGATGTCGGCTGTGTGCATCTCAAGTATGCAGAGGCCGGGTGTGCGCTCATTGTGTTTGTATCTTCTTGATGCTCTATTCTGAATCAATAAAAATCACCATTTGTCAAAAAAATTGGGATATGATCACTGATATTATCCATGAGAGAGAAAGGATACAAGTATAGCAGAACTGGGCCGGATCAGTTGCAATCCAAATTGCACATAAGTCAGCTCCCAGGTAGATCCCTCACCCAACATGCGGCATATGGAAACCACTCTCTTATGTCGTTGTAGAAGCTTTCCACCTTTCCCAAATAACGGATCTTTGAGCTATTCAAATGGTAGGCTGTTATTGTACAGTGGCGGTCATCATAAAACAAGACAATTTCCTTATAAGGATGAAATCCAAAACAGTGGAAAAGAGGAGAGCTGCGTTCATGTGCTCTAGGGCAGCCTGTGGTGTCAATAGCATTTTCATCATCTGAGTCCCAACTAAAAACATCCTTCACTAGAGTGCCATTCTCGTCATCTAGGCGCATAATGTTGACTATATTCTTGGACATACACATTGGATCATGTAAGGTCCATGGTTCGTGATGAACATCATTCCAAAAATATTTGTTGACGGCAAACTGAAGGTTGATTTCATTCCTTAGCACCCAATCCATCTGACCACTCGATTCATCTAGGAACCAAATTTCACATGTGCATTGTTCATGGATCAATGTACAGTACACCCCTTTCTCTGATTTTCCTAGATAAGGCTCTCCCTCGTTTCCTTTTGGCAGCTTAATTACCTGGTACCTATCATTCAACAAATTTATTCTGCAAAAAAAATTTAAATCATCCACCTCTCTTAAAAAAATATTATGAACCCAAATTATCTATCTTTGTCAATTAAAAAAACATAAATCCTATGTATGGTGTATGAGGTGTGATCAGTTAGGGTATACCTCAACATAAAACCTTCTTCACAACGAACGTAGAGCGCTCCGTGCCAATACGCGGAGTGGTAAAGGAAGGCGCCATGATCAGTTTTCAGGTCGGCAACGGTTCCCGCGGCTTCTCCTTCTCGCGTGTATGACTTTTCCGTCCAACATCTGGTTTTTGACGAGAAGACGTCGATGATGAATGGCGACGGTGGCCATTCCAGTGCCGAGACGTCGGGTCCATGGCCGCAGTCATGTTTTGCGATGTGCCCTATGGAAAGCTCGCAGGGAATATGAGGGATCAAGGCCACCTCGTAGTGCGGCGAGACGGTGGGATCATAGACGAGGTATTGATTACGCTCGATGCCTTTACAGCTTGTGCAGCCCGGCACCGTGCACGGCGGCGGGTACGCGGGGAACCGCACGGACTGCCGCGTCGCGGGGTTGACCACGTGGTCATCAAGCAGGAGCAAGCCGTTGCAGCAGTCCAAGAGAGACCACACGTACCACGGCTCCATGTCGGCGTCGATGTAGTCGAACCTGGTGATGATGCTGCGCCCCGTGGTGGGACGGCAGAAGAGGAGTGGGTCTCTCGGGTCGCCCGTCGTGAAGATGACGGCGTCCAGTGAGAGCGGGAGCAGATCCGCACGCAGCAGGCGGTGACTGTCGACGGCAGCGCGCCACGCCGTGCAGACGCAACGGGAGGCGGCGAGGCTGCGTGGCGGGAGGTGGCGGAGGATGTCGGCGAGCGCGTCGTCGCATAGCTTGTCCATGTCTGACCGTAACGTACGTACGTACGTACGTCGTCGGTAGGTTGCTTCGCGTGGCTAGAGATCGATCGACACAATGAACTAGGGTTTTGTTAGTTTTTTTAGGGATTTGTTAGTTATTATTAGTAGTAGCGAGCGATTCGGAAGGCAACACGCGTGAATGCTCCGGACTCGTACACGGCGTGGCTCAAATGACTCGGCGCGCACAGGGACGTGATCTTTTTTTTTTTTGAGGGAACACAAGGACGTGAGATCTTATATGACTATTCTTCCCTCACCGTCGCGGACTTTTTGCGAAAAAGCCCCTGTGATTTTTCTTATTCAAGTCGCAATCAAGTCAACCCGAACCGATGCAAGCAGAAAAAAGAAAACCAACCGCACGACCCACGACCTTGTCCCCAATCCCATCTTCCACCTCCAGCGCGCCGCCACCCTTGCCATGCCGCCGCGCGCCTCCTACCCTACCGGCGCTCCCCCCCTATCCCAAGTGCCCCCACCCCCGCGCCCACCCACCGTCGATGACACTCGACGTTGTGGCCGTTGCCGGCTCTCCCCATCTCTGCTACCACGGCGCCTCGGCGCCGCCGGGACTCCTTCCCACTGCTTCCACCTCGGCAATGGTTCCCCCAACCCCATCGGCTTCGCCATCCCGGCGCACTCCACCACCCGTTGGACCGGTCCGCCTGGCTCCCGGGGCGAACATCGCCGCAACCCTGCTATCGCTTCCCACCACAGCCGCTGGCCTCCTCCACCTGTGCGCCACTCCCCGCCTCCCCCTTGACACGCTGCGTGTTCTCCAGCCTCCGGCTAGCTGTGACGTGAGGTGAGCTTGGTTGCTTGGCAAAATGTGTGCAGGCCATATTGCTTCAGAGATTGGGAGTCAAAAACTTGCAGCTACAGGCTGTAGCTCTTCGGATGAGACGGGAGTAGATGAGAAGATCAGATCCTAATAGACCATGGCAAGGATTACTGGAAGCCGTGGATGATTTTGTACATCACTTCTTTAGTAGTTTGGTCATATTGATTGATGTGGGAGATGGGCGTACAACTTTTTTCAGACTGACAAATGGATGTATGTAAGGCTTTGCTGTTAGTAATTTTGCACCATCCTTACTACTGAATATCAGTCCCCGCATCCTGAATAAGAGAACAGTTTGGGAAGCTCTCCATAATCATCGATGGCTGCAAGATATTGCTGGCATGGCGAGGTCCATCCGAATGAACAGGTTCAGCTGGGCACCTTATGGACAGTTCTCAACTATTTTCAACTTGACGATGCTAGACCGGATGTATTCCAATGTTCTGGTGGCGCGCGTTGTGTTGGTCATATTCGTGTCCTTCTGTACTGGATACCTCACTCAGCTTTGCCTATCTAGCCCGAGTTCCTCTTCACGGCAATGCTTACTAAGTTTGTTGTGTGAAATTTAGAGGAGTTATATCTGAATAAAGGACTCACTATCCGGCTAGATGTTCCATTGGATGCCCTTGCAAGAAGTATTGTTGTGGTGGGTACAGCGTCACGGCCCCTCCCGCATCAACAATCTGGTGGTTCATATGCAAAGCCCCTCTTGCCTATATGTAAGCGGGCCTTCGATTCCACCGGGGTCTTACGGTCTCATAGAGGGGGGAGAACTACCTAACTAAAGAAGAATAGTGCTCTTTATAAATAAGAGTAGGCATGGAGAGCTTTTTGCGGGGAAACTTGCAAGTCAAGTTTGGGGGGTTCTTTAATTATTTCTCTATTTTTTTATTACTTAATTTGAGAATAAAAAAATATTCTAATGAATTTTATTCTTCTTCTTCGGATTCAAAATAGAAGAATAAAAATATCAAACTTAACCTATAAATAACTAGTATCTCAAAAACCAAATAAAAGGCTTTCTTTTAAGCTTGTTAATGGAATTCCACAGGAGTCAAGCGCTAGCAAAGAAGAATTGAAAATCAGTCGCTTCCCTTCTGGACTCAAGTCAGCAGAAGAGTGAACTTCATATTAATAGGTAAATCCTATAATCGACCCCCTTCTTTCTTTTTTATTCAAAGACACAAAAGCAAGCACAGTACAAAGAGATTGGACTCTCGGATGAGACTAAGCAGCTACCGTTCCGACGCGCCCCTGACCCTATCTTGATTCAAACCGAAAACCCTCTCTAAGGTGGAGCCTAGTTGAAGCTGTCATTCAAAGAATAAATGGGAATCCAAATCCACTTTTAGGGATATAGATGAAGTCTCGCTCAGTAAAGAGAGTTGTAGATTCATAGAAGAGGATCAGAGTACGCGCGCTACAAAAGACACAACATCAATGTATGTTGACACAAAAATTCAAATCAAAATTCAAAACATCGCTCGAGATACATCCCCTATTTGGCTCATCCATTAAGGACGTGTTTAGATGGGTGCGTCGCACCTTTCTCGCACCCGAGGTGCAAACTCCAACGTGTTTGTTTTCCTGCGCGACCCTCTCCGCCAGGCCCGTAAAATGCAAAAGAGGCCCTCTCAGCCAGGCTGAGTGAAACGCGAGAATCAGGCGTATCCCGCAGCCAGGCTCGTACATGCATCCTTCGCCCTTTCATTTCTCTATCTCTCACGCTTCAGATCCCATCGAGCACACCAACCCACCGCCGCGGCCGCCGTCTGAGCCCCCTCATCCGCCACCGGTGCGGACTCCCTCGCCGAAGATCGAATCTGCCGATGTTCCTCCACGCCCGCGTCAAGGGCTCACCACCCTATTTCAACATCATCGGGATCCGCCGCCGCCGAACAACGCCGATGGCCAGGTCCGAGCTCGCCACGCCGCCCGCCACACATCAAGATGAAGAGGGGGGAGGGGGCACCTGCATGTCGCGGCCGACAACTAGCGTCGTCTTGCTATCTCCACCGCCGAAATCTCCTCCTAGTTGTCGTCTCCCCCTTCACTACCATCTAATTGTAAGATTGGAGAAAATGTTTTGATTGTTTTGGTTCAGATTTCACCATTCTTGTTTTTTCTCTCCATAAATGGTCCAGATTCAGTTGGAATGCTTAAAATTGAAAGAGAAAAGTTCATGGAACGAATCTCAAACACATCCTACCAAACAACATCTATTGTATATAGCGTCTCTCATGCATCCATACAATACAGTCCACCAAACACACATCTTAACTCATCTTTGCATCAACTCAACCAGGCCAAGCTCGCCCAGGATCCCTCATGCGATGTAGTCTATAGTCACCCAGGCAACCAAACACGCCCTACATGTTTTTGTGTCAATGCACTAAATGTTTTTTCTAGATTGTTTTCAATATTTTTGAATGTGCAACAGGGGACCGGTGCACCAGATGCATCCCCTGTTTGGCTCACCCGAGCCCTTGATCAAAGGAGGGAAGATACATCTATGGAGGAGGCTTTGGGGAGCTTTTTGAATACATGTCAAACATTTTTCAAACACACGTTGAACAATTTTTTGAATGGTACGAAACTTTGTTTAAATGTCACAAACATATTTTTGAAACGAGTGAATTTTTTTAAATGTGAAGTAATTTTTCTAATGGAAAAATGAATTTTAAAAATTTGTGCGAACATTGTTTTACATTGTATGAACATTTGTAAATACAATCATTTTTTCTTGCATGTAGTCCCTCGGTCCCGAAATTATTGTCGCGCGCCCAGTACAATCGTGTTTTTACAAAAAAAGCCTTGTGCTTTCAAAGCTCTCACAAACAAGCTCCGTGTCCTTCTTCCTCCTCCGCCCGTCGCCCGACGTCGCCACGGCCAGCCCCCGTCGCCCGCACGTCGCCGCAGCCAGCCGCCAGTCGCCTGAGCAGGTACTGCGTCGCCGACTAGCCCGCCCAGGAGGCCGCCCACGAGCAGGACCTCCGCCGGCCGCCCACGAGCGGCACCTCCGCCATCGATTTCGGCGCCCACCGCCGGCGCGCATGTCGACGCGCTGGTCCACTTCGGCCCCGATTCCGCCGCCCGCCGCCGCCATGCTG